GAGCAGCATCTGACCAGCTGTGCCATTTTACTGGAATCTAACAGGAAAACCAAGTCTGTAATGTCAAGACTTCCTACAAGGCCATTCCTGAATCCACCCCTGGCTTCTAATCCTGCAAGCCTCCTCCTTCTGCAGAGGCCCCTCAAATCTAGTGCTGCCCTGCAGACATCATGAATGTTCATTGCAGACATCAGAGTGAGGAGCACTGTGGGAATTAGCCTTTAAAGAGACCAGAGGGTTCATCTGAGACAACACGTCAGTTTCACCAGGCAGCTCAGCTCTTATGCTTTTTGGGGAGGGAACCACACTTGATTTCCTACTTCTAAATTACAAGTTAAGTCCTCTAGCTGTGCAGGTAGGATAGTCATTTTGTCAAATGGCTCAGCCTATGCTCTCACTGCTGGGAAAAGGCAAGAGGGAGCACAGAGCTGCAAGGAAGACTTATTAAAACACATACATCCTTTACAAGCTGCTGGTCTTCAGGGCCCTGTTAACAATCGTGTAACAGTTGTAACAGTGGCCATGTTTGGAGCTGCCTTACTGCCCCATGTCCACTGATTCCAGACTCAAGAGACAGGCAGCACATGCTTCTGAAGGTCCCATGGTTGCAGTGGTCTCTGCAGACCAGCTCTTACTGTTATTAGCACAATAATTAATGTACATAAAGGAAAGATTTAAATAAATAAACTTTTCCTTTTGTTAGTAGATCATTCTACGCCCTAAATTACAATGCAAGTGGAAGTCAAGCAATTGCTCTTTGAAAATCCTTCCATAACCCAAACTTGCCTGGGAACCAAGATTTGAGAAGCTGTCAGGAATGGATCAACTTTAGCAGGCTTGGCCTTTTAGTAACAGATGATTCCTCCTTGCCCACTAGGATCAGGTGGAGCCCTAGGAGTCTGCTAAACCAGATCAGGATCTCTTTGGAGATTCAAAGCTCCCCAGCCACACTCTTCCAGGCAGCTGTGGTTTGCAGAAGTAAAGGCAGCAGCCCAGTCCTGGTTCTTCAAGTATCAGAAGGGTTGCTATTTAGCATATCAAAAACCACCAACAATAAAACAAACAAAAAACCTACCAACCAACACCCTCTCCCCCCAAAAATAAAATACCCCCCCAAAAAAAAACCAAAACCCAAAAAACAACTGAACCACCAAACCCAAAACCACCCACCTAATAAAAACCCCAACAGGTCTGTGCTGACTCAAAGTTAGCACCCTAAAGTAGGTGCTATGTCTAATATTTCAGTTGTAGCTGCTGCAGGACTCTGTTATTCACTGTATATCTTGCTAGCTTCATCCAAAGCTAGAAAGATTTATAACTTGATTATTCTGTGAATAGTCTGTATATCTTCATAAATACAGGGGCCTAAAATTCTGCATTAACTTACACCCTCCATTATCCCTCCAGCTTTACAGAGTCTGTAAGGAATGTGAATCAGTGCAAACTGAATTTGAAGTATTTTAAGATGTAGCATCGTGAACTACTATTTCCAACCACCACCACTCACATTATAAATTTATTGGTTTGTTTTTTTTTTACTAAAATGATCTAGCACTCTTTTTTACTATAGTATTATATGAAATATATTCATGTATTTTCAGAAATATATTTATAAAATGTAACATACTGTATAGTTCTTCATTACAGAATGCATTGTAATACAAGCATAAAAAATTTAATAAAAGCATCACTACAATAATTGTTTTCACATATTTGATTAATGAACCCCTGGATGTTAGTATAGCAACTGCCACATTTATAGTTTCAGGTAAACACAGGTGGGCAAGAAAGGAACCATTACTTCCACACATTCAAAGAACTTTAGCTTCAGAAAAGCATCAAGTTTGGTTGTTTGAGGCTGGTGCTGTTTTCAAAGACCCGGACAGCACAGAGAGCATTTGGAAAGCTCAGGCCACATGTAGATGTTCAGTTTTAGCAGTGCTATATTAAGTGCTTCCAAAGCCACAAAGGAGATAGACACAGCAAGGTAGCACACACCACCTCCAGAGGAAAGGGTGAAGGCGCTGGTGACAAAGTATGCAGATGCTCAGCATCAGGGTTTCTTCCCAAAAATCTGGTCTAATTAGCAGCACCACACAACAGGCTCAGCCAAGAGGTGCTGGCTTCAAGGCTGTTTTTCATCAACTTCCTTAACTCACAGACCACAGCAACATCCTGAACAGGGAAGGTTTCCTTCACCTGCAGGAGCTAAGGCCAATATCTACACAACCCACACCTTTAGTTCAGCTGTATAACCAGGCAGTGTAGAGTGAAGCTAAAGAGGGTGCCGACACAAGTCATATAGGTTACTCAAAAAAAGGGTAAAGGAGAAATCAATGAGATGCAGCTAAAGAAAGTAGAGGCTGGGGGGTGGGGAAGAGACAGAAATGCACCTGTGGAGGTAGGGGAAAAAAAAAAAAAAACAACAAACCCAAACCACACTTTTGCAATTTTATCTCCTGCAGAATGGAGCTATGAAAGCCCCAACATCCTAGTAGGGAAGAACAAGCTAGGAAGATGGGAGCAATGCAGAGGGTGAAATGTCTGTGTTGCCTTGTTTTCACCCTGTACTGGTGCTTCACACACACACACCCCTCATCCCACTGCTGCTTACATCCTTCCTCTCCTGCTAGAGACCAAATACTAAGCCTTAAGCACAGAACACTTCCTGGATTGGCTTGAGGGAATTAAGTTCACTCCTCTGCTCTCGCCTCTACTTATCTGTGTATACACCCTGCACTCAGAAGCAGGGCCATTATAGAAAGATCCAGCTCTACAGCAGAACCTACCTGATACCCATAGACTATGTGCCCAGAGCTCCCTACCTCTTTGGGATGGTTCAGCAGCCCCATGCAGGGCAGCAGGGAGCAACTGAGCAGAGACTTCGCTCTCCTTCAGTCTCCACACAGACACCTAAGCTCTCTAAGCAAGTATTTTTGTCTACCTTACAGGGCACGGGAAGACTGCAGCAGCAGCAAGGAGTGTGTGTAATACTTGGCTAACACACTGCTAAAAGCAGTGCCAGAGCACCCTGCCTGATGTAGAATCATAGAATAGTTAGGGTTGGAAAGGACCTTAAGATCATCGAGTTCCAACCCCCCTGCCATGGGCAGGGACACCTCGCTCTAAACCATATTACCCAAGGCCTCTTCCAACCTGGCCTTGAACACTGCCAGGGATGGAGCATTCACAACCTCCCTGGGCAACCTATTCCAGTGCCTCACCACCCTAACAGGAAAGAATTTCCTCCTTATAGCCAATGCATTGGATACACTTTCCATGTACTGGAAAGGTGTGGTCTATATTACTCTAATTGCCCAGTTAACATTACAGACAGCAGATGAAGACCTGTCATTAGGAGTTTACACTCAGCTTCCCCAAACAGATGACCACCTGTACCAAGGCCATTTAGTTGCCAGAGACACTCCCTAAAGGATGAGGCTGTTTGACCTATACCCAGATGAGGATTTCTCCAGCCTGTGATCTTGTTCACCCTCCAACCATACAACTTGGAACAGTCTTATCTTCTGATTACATTTTCAAAACAGGCAGGACTTAAAGAGCACTGGTTATCCTGAAAGTAGCAGGGAAGAACAGTTCTGCTAGGAAAACAAAAGCATTGTAAGATGATTCAAAAAAAAAAAATCTTGCTGCAATAAGAAAAGTATTAAAAGTAGTTCCCCCCACCTGTTAATGCTTTCCAACTGCAGCATTGGCAGTGGCCAATTACATAGAAAAATACCACAAGCAAGACACTGTTCAGTCCTTTGCTTCCATGTATACAAGAGCTGCTCTTCTACCTTAAAGGCCTCTGAAAGGTATGACTAAGACTGCTCAACTGTCTTTTAACAGGGGAAATGTCTAATATAGCCCAGAGGTGGGGAAGGGGAGGATGACACACTTAATAATTTCTAATAACGGGGGCAGAGAAAAATATTTTTCCTTCCCCTCTAAAGTACTTGCTCAAGAACTATTCCATCAGCTCTAAGGGGGTCTCAGTGTGGGTGCAAGCACCAGAGCTCCCCCAGCTTGGGCAGGAAATAGGGTGGTGGACCCCCTTTCCTGCTCCACCATCTGGAGACATTTGCTGGACTGTCTTTGTCCATGACCTCAGGAAGCCAAGAATGACCCTGCTCAGCTGCTGTGACTGAAATCACCACACTAAACTGCTCCTGATGCTCAGAACAGCAAGTTTTCTCATCTCAAAGCAGCACACCTGTGGCACTGTTATGCCAACAGTGGTGTCAAATTAGCTTTAAACCAAAAGCTTTGAAGACTTCATTGTCTGCTTTCACATTAAAGTTTAATTTTAAACTTCAAGTCAAGTTTGAATTTTTTCCTGAAGTTCAAACGACCTAGGCCCTTTGATATTTTTTCCAGTTGGAGTAAAGCTTCCCTGCTCTTATCCTCCAAAAAGCCCCACCTGCCCTTTTTTGTTTCCCATAGGTTCCCATATAGGATCGTTAAGAAGGTCCATTTGTGTAGTGCTTTGCCATTCCTGCCTCTGAGTCTCCCACCATATGAGCACAACCCTGACTTACCTAGTGAACTCAGGGACAAGCAGGCAGTTCCCAGCTCCTCTGAGCAGTCAGATACCAGCTCTGCATCCCCAGAGGAGAAGCAGCTGCAAGTTTTGCTTTGGGTTAGTTTTGCTGCACTCCTACACAGTGTTTTGAGAGGGGCAAGGACTTCAGGAGACCACCTTAGCCACTGACACAAATGTAGACACCACCCAGCATCACTCCTCTGACTCAGTCTGCAGCTTTCTAGCTGCCCTGGTCATTAAAAAGGCTCCCTCTTAACAGCAGCAGACAGTCAGTGCTAGCCCCAGAGCACAATAAATAGCCAGGAAGTGAGACTGATTCAGAGAAACAGCATTTGGAAAGTTCTCAGCCATCAGGAAAGTTTTTGTCTTGCAAGCAGAGGCTTTCAGCCAGGGTCCCCAGGACACAATCCTGTATGTGGCTCCAGGCCAGGGAGAAGAAGCCCCACAGACCAAGTGGATTTTACAACTGCTTTATTGCAATATACTGACTTCATGCATTACAGACCCCTTCCTGCACCACAGCACAGCAGCCACAAACACCATGCACAGAGCTGCACCAGTTGCTGCAACAGCAAACCCCAGAGCCCAGGGGGCTGCAGCATTCATATCTGCTCCTGTGAGGAGAGAGAAGCCTCAGTTAATGCTCTCCCGGAGAGGCAGAGGGATGCCTCAGAGGCTCAGACTTTCTGTGGAAAAGACTTGGAGCAGGACCTTCCACAGGTGGTCATGTTGGGCTGGCACACTTACCAAGGCCATCCTTGGCTGTGTCCCATCTTATCTCATCTTGGAGGAAAATCACAGGGCCTTTGCTGCAGACATGTGAGGCACCATCCTCAAGAGGATGCTCAGCACTCCTTTTATTCCCTACAGAGCAATATGAAGCTTTTACTTCAAAAGACACATAGACCTGAAGGATTTCATGCAAGTCAATACAGAATTAAGAGCCTCTGAAGACCTCCTCAGTAGAAAGTAGTAGGAAATACCTTTCAAACTGTCTGTGGCTCAAGATAACTTATCCATATGCTACACATCCTACACCCCAGCTTAGAGGTTAGACCCTTGTTGCCCCTTTGGATGGGAAGCAGGAGGGCTAGGACACTTACTGGCTGTAGCAGGACAAGAGGTAGTGCAGGACTCCTGTACAGATCTGTGGCACACTGAAGCACTGCAGTGCAGGTACACCTAGAAAGAATGGACACAGCCTGAAACCACTCAGCCAATATCTGTAGACAGTTCATACCCTGGTGTGGTGCATTGAGCCTAGTCAGCAGGTAAGAACCCACACAGCCTGTCTCCCTACCCTGTCTCTGCTGGGTGGGAAAAGGCTATTAAAGCAAAAGCAAGCAAAAACATGGCTGAAGAGATAAAGACAGTTTTATAAGAGAAGGAGGACGGAAGAGGAAGTAACAAAAGCACAAGTGATGCAAAGGCAATTCACCCATCCCACTCCCATAAGCAGACTGATGCCCAGGCAGTCTGAGTAGCAGCTACATTGGAAGACAAAACCCTCCAGTGTTTATTATAGAGAATGACAAGATAACAGATGGAATATCCATTTGACCAATTGGGTCAGCTGTCCCAACTGTACTCCTTCCAGCCTACCGTATGCCTACTCACTTGGGGTTAAGACATGGTGCTTGGACAGCAGAGCTAGGAGAACAAGCCTTGATGCTCTGCAAGCACTATTCAGAAATTAACACTATGTTCTAGCTATTAACACAGTTTTAGCCACAAGAAAAAAAACAGCCAATCAAACAATCCCTGCCCCCCCCCCCAAAAAAAAAAAACAACAAAAACCACAACAACAAAAAACCCCCACCAGAGAACTGCTTCTGAGGGCAAGAGCCCCCTATGCGTTGCTATGAAGAAAGTGCACACCATTCCAGCCAGACCCAGTGCACCTGAGTACAAAACAGAAAACAAGAACACTGCTTCGGCTTGCTTAGCATACAGGCCCTGCGTAGCCTTGGAGCCCTCTGCTGCCTGCGGAGAGCAACCTCAGTGCCTTTGCTACACACCTTCAAACTCACATCTGGCATTACAGCACTTCTGACACTTGGGACACAGCTGCCCCAACACCACTACACTTCAGTTTACAGACAGTTTAGCATGGTTGAAGCACACACCCTAAGCTAATTCAACAGAACAGCTTAGGCAGCAAGTTAGCCCATGCTTAAGTGAAGTTACTCTTTCAGCCCATTTCCTGACACATCCCTCTCTTGATGCACCTTACCTCTACCACATTAAATTCAGGAAATTAAGTTTCTTGCATCAACCTCTCTCCTCCTGTCTCAGGAGGGGATTTTCTTGGACTTATGGCCTCCTCCTCCCAAGAAAATCAGAAGTATCATAAAGTAGTTCTTACTGCTCACATGTTACTTGTCCTCATTAGGGAGCTAGGCAACCAGGACAGGATCTTACCAGCCCAGAGAGCATCTCTTGAGAAGTGGAGTCCACAAAGGTGAATGTGTAGAGGGTGAAACGCTGGTAATGAGAAGGGAACAGCAGTCCTGAGGTAACACTCAGAGGCACCAGCTGTGTCTGATAGTTGTCCCCTGTATAAGGGCACCTGAAAAGAAGCCAGCAGTGAAAAAAGTGGAAGTCATTCACCTGACCCTGTGACTTGTAAATAGCTTTATAAGTACACATACCCATCCACCAAAACAGGCCACTGCAGCTGTTGCTGGGGATTGACACTTGCTGTGGCCCAGCAGTGGTGCAGGACCAAAATCAGGTCTGGGTCTGTTCTCTGAAGGATCTTGACTTCTGCATAAACAGGGTCTCTCAGAGTCTTCACAATAGGATAGTCACTGTCAGTATAGTAGGAAGTATAGCTTCCATCTGAGATAAAAGAAGACCAACAGCCATTTTAGAGCAGGAACAAAGAGAAAGAGAGAGCCCAAGAGCATCTTTTATAGCCATGGCAATAAGGTCCCACCAAGGCAGGGAAGAAGCAGTGCTAAATTCACTAATCAAATACTCCTTTATTTCTCAACAGAGATCACAGCTCTGCACCAGGAGGCTTGAACAGGTCCTGCAAATCTATCTTACCTGAGGCAATACGCAGCTCCAAGGACAGAGGACCTGGCTGGGACACAGCAGGGAGTGGAGGCAGTGTGAAGACTTGAACACTCAAGGGAATGAGGCTCCCAATGGTGGAGTAACTACAGCGGACATGTAACCTGGTAGGACAGGAAAGCCCCAAATGAATCGGATAAAGGTCACTCTGATATCTCCTTTCTCCAAGATCACAAAGAAATAGTTGCTTTAATTAGTCATATCCCCAGTCTTTCATCCCACATATCCTTCTAACACATACTTTAAATTCTTTTCAGAGTTCAGCTTGAGCATGCACAGCTTCACTGATCAGCATCAGCTTTATTCATACCAACTAGAGACATACCAGACCTTAGCTTACTCCATTGCCCTGTTGTGAATTCAGAGCCAAAGACAAGTGGAAGTTTCTCTAGTGACACTAAACAGTGGCATTCAGCAATACAAGTCCCAGAGCATTACCTGAAAGTGCTATCCCTAGTGACAGAGCCAAGCTTCCCAGTCTTCACATCCCTGGATGCCACCAACTCATTCTCATATATGACCTGGTCTCCAGTCACCTGGAAGGACAGAGCCAGCACTGTCACTGCAGTAAAGTCAAGCTGGATTAACACTGGGCTGAAGAACAGCCTCTGGAAATCTGCAAGGCACCCACTAAGTAGCTAAAGCCACATCAGGTTGCTCCAGGTCTGCAAGCTCTCGCTATTCCAGCCTGGGGATAGCTGTAGCTCTTACCTGAAAAGTAGTGCCACAGGCAGGGAGCGGGAAGTGGTACACAACAAATGCATTGTTTTTCACAACAGGCACACAGCCACTACTGTGTCCACTGGCCAGTTGCACAGAGTCCAGGATAACAGGTGGCAGGGTCACATCCCGAGAGACAGCAATGGAAAAATGGCCATCCGGTGTGCAATGAGCTGTCACTGGAGGAAAAGATATAACCAGTCTTGAACTCAGGGAAAAGAGGGATGGAAAGGAGGCTCAAACATCACAGCAAGGACAAGGCCAGCAAGTCCTGCAGGTTCTCCTGCCTGTCACCCCCAAAGCAAGTGCAAAGTACAGCAAGACAAGCGTAACCAGCTCCAAGACTAACACCAATCCTGGCCATAAGCCAGGCGATGCTGCAATACACATGAAAGAGCTGGGTGCTTCAATAGGACTGAGTATTCTTGACAGTCAAAACCAAAGCCCTAAGCCACCTGCAAAACTGGTACATGCTAATCCTGCTCTGCCAGGGAAGTGAGGAATCCCAGTCTGCAGCTCCTCCAGGAGGAGGGGAGACCAGTTGTTCACACTTACCTTTGTTACCAAAGTAACAAGGCATCACCCTATCCCTAGGGTCATAGCAGCAGCCTCGCACTTCACAGTCTCCTTGGTTGATAGGCAAGGAGGCACACAGCAGTCGGTCTTGGCTGAGTACAGCAGAGCAGACACTGCTGCTTGGAGCATCCAGGGCTGGAAGAAACAGCAGGAATTTGTAGCTAAAGCTCAGGAGAGAGGGTCAAAGTCACAGAGGACACTGGTGGAAGGTGTCATGGTGACACAGCATACAAATCAAAGGAAGCTGGACTCTGATGAGGATCAAACACATGCCTGGAGCTGGCATGGAAGCCTGCTCAGAAAAGGCCTGTATTTCCCTGGGGCCCTGTAAAGGAGACTGCACTGTATGGCACCTTTCAAGGTAAAGTGCTCTGGTAGATAGGAAAATCATTGTATCTAGTCTCTGCCCAGTCCCCAGGTTTACAGGGACTTACACTCAAACTGGGACCAGGAAACACAAGAAACACTCACCTGGTAGCCCAGCAAAGGAGGCACAAGTCCCCAGCAAGCTAGTGGCTCCTGCGTCCAAATTGTTCTCCAGGGAGTCTTCTGCCCAACAGAAAATCCCCTTTCCCAACCCACTAACTGACTAGGAATGTCCATCTGAAGGAAGGGTACCCACTGACACAGATACAAGCAGAGTCTCCCAAGGGGATGCCAGAATCTTACCAGGAAGGTCCACAGGGCACCTGAGCAGCTTCTCTTCATGAAGAACTTTTTGTCCAGCAGCATCACTTCCTTCAAGCCCGACCAGCATGAGATAATGGCCATCCTGCAGGAGAGCCATACCAGTCAGGGCAGCCAGAGCAGTGGTAGTCACAGTGCCAGCAGAACTCCTGAGGTCGCTTACCCATTCAAAGACATAACAGCCAGCGTAGGAGATCATTACTGTCTGGGAGCCATCTGAAGTCCCAAGTACCAAGAGCCCACACTCTGAGTCATTCTGCAAAGCATGTGCCTTCCCCTCAATATCTAGGGAGAGAGAAGAAGACAGCAGCAGGGGCTTCAGCATCCTACACTGAATATAGAGTCCACTACAATCCTATTTTTCCACAGGAAATAAAACCCTAGCCAGTATTAGGGTCTGAATCAGCAGAGGTGTTTGGGAAAGCCCAGCAGCCAAGACCGTCTACAGCCAAGCACAGCACTCCACCACAACCCTTGACTGGGGTGTCACCTAACAGCCCCCTGGCTGGCTGGCTGGCTACACAAGATGCATTGAGGCTGCTAGGCAACACTTCACATTAAAACCAACCTCTCTCTCCTCATTCCAGGCATACCTGTGCACTGTACAAAGACACAGCAGCAAGAAAGCCTCTTGACAGAATCCTCACTTACCCCAAGCAATCAACACAAAGGTAGCATTCCCTTGCCAGCCTGAAGATAAGGTGAGCTGCATGCTTTCTTGACCACAAGCCAGCAGACTGGGATCAGAAAAAACACTACCCTGAGCTCCCATAACCAAAAACAGGAGACCAAGAAACCCCAAGAAGAGCATAGCTCCAAATGCAGTCCTAGATTGTCCTACAACACCCATCCTGCTCTCTTGCTAAGGGCCACAAAGCAGCTGCTCTTAGCCTAGCCCTTTTATATGTTGGAGTCAGCTGGGATCAGAAATTCACTGAGTGTCCAGGTGGACCCAGACCAACAATTTAACACCTTCCATTGCCCTCACCTGGCTCTGAACCCACCACAGTCTGTTTGCACCCTTTGAAGAAAACCACAGGGCAGGAACTGAGCTTGTGTCAGGAGCTGTATGTGTCTTCATCTCCCTAAGCTAAGAGGAGCTCATGTGTGCCATTTGCTGTAGAGCTACAGGAGGATCTTCAAACCCTGTTTTCTGACCCTGAGTTCTTCCCACCACCGGTTCATCCAGGATATCTGCCTGCTTGCCTCTGTGCAGCCTGCTGCTGCTCTAAGTGCTCATTACATCACATGAGTGCAAGAAGCTGAATGACAATGCTCTTTTGCTCTTTTCAAGGTGCCACTGTTCCAAATGCCAACACAGGTGATGACATATAAACACAGAAACAGCCCTCCATGTGAAATCTGTGGAAAACTATGATGCTCAGGAGACTTTGCACACCTAAAAGGAGGTGATTACCCTTAAGCACTCCTGGCTGTGGACTACACCTGCATTTGTAGTGTGGTTGTATGGGGTAGCGGCAAGACTCTTCCAGGCCTGGCTGCAAGGTGGCAGGGCCATCCACTGTGTGGGACCCTTACAAGCTGGCAGGAAGAGCCCTGATGGGCCTGAAAATACAGACAATGGGGGCCTCCGTGACCCCAGAGAAAGCCCTTCCTGCCAACAGCCACTGCCTGCTGTAACTGCAATGTGTCTCATATAGAGCCTTCTCCCATGCCACACATCAGGCTACAGCAACCACACAGAGTAAAAGCCTTATTGTCCATCTTCCATACAGATGTTTCTGCATTCATGCAATGGAGGTGTGCATGTCTTTACATTGTTGTAGGGGTGATGCACACATACGTTGTGCATGCTTTATATGCCCTACTGTTTGCAGTGGGAGCATTGGCCTAGCCTGTGCCATCATGTTCTTTTGTAATCTGCTTATTCCTTTGGGGCTAGATCATCACACTTCCCAGAAGAGTCTGTGGGTTAGATGAGTAGGATTTCTAATCTTGACCCTTAATAATGTACTTCCATTGCTATCCAACTGCACTTCTGCTCTCAGGAGACCCTCCTGCTCCTTGATGTTTGCACAGCACCACAAAGCAGGCAGCATGTTTGCCTCTCCAGCCAGCCCTCATCAGCAGGCATGGGTAGTAACTGAGTCTAAGGGAAGTGCTTCCTCCGCTCTTCCACCTTAGCCTACAGCCCATCTTTCCTCTACAGCTGTACAGGATGCCGTGATCCCATCTAGGTGAAGAATATTACTCTGCCTGGCCTGCACACCGCTTTCCAACCAGAAAGGTTGTTCCACAAAGAACAATACCTTTTCAGTTGCTCTGCACCGCAGAGACTGCTACACATGGATCTCAAAAGGCTGCCTGTAGGGCTGCTGCTTGAGCATTGCTCATGAACCAGATGTGTTCCTGCCTGTGCCCTGCCAAGGCACTGACCAGCCACGGTGGAGAGGCACCTAGGAAAAACGTTTGGACTTTGTCAGGGAGAGAGACTTCACCTCTGTACAAGCTGATCATTGTTCCAAGTCATCCTGCCTCATCTCAGAGCTACTGTATGACTGCTGAATGCTTCATTTGACTGCAATACTTGCTGATAATTGGGTTAACTGTAACAAATAAACAAAGTACCTTGGAGCCATAGATAGTTTTCATTACACTTTAACTCATCAATACTTTGCCTATGCTGACAGGATGAAACGTCTACACATACTTAAAGAACAACTCTGAATCAACACTGGGAGTGCTGTAGATCCCCAAGCAATATCTGTGCTAAAAACACTCTCAAGTAAGCACCCTTTCCTAATTTCTACACACACATTTGAAAGCCAGGTTGGGTGATGTAGAGACGGGTGGCAAGTGAAATGAACCTGAAATTCATGGAAATGAAATGCTTTTGTTTGGAAGTTGTTATAGGAAGTGGAAAGCAACCTGGCTCAGAGGAAACAGGCAGGTCTCTCCAATCTCTTCCTCATATGTTTGATGGTTCCCACACGATATAATGGCCCAGCTGTAAGCACCAATTCAGCTAACACCCAAACCACCACAAACAGGACATGCAGAGGAGGAAGTTCGGTGAAGCAAGCATTTCTTCAGGTCAGTAGTCTTAAGCCGATCATGACTCCAGCAAGCTAATATTGTCCTGGGATGTCCATCAGGAAGATCTCCTCCTAATGATTTTGAGCCTGGGAAACTGGGCAGACAGGGTGGCAGTAGGAGTTGTCCTGGCTCTAGAGACCTATTGGAAGGAAACTTGGTATTGAACACGACCATCAAGAAGTGTTGGGAAAAGGAATTAAAAATGCCCTGTGTGTTGTCTGGCCTGTACGTGGTATGGGCAGTACCCACGTATGGTACAAAATGGAAGTGCATGAAGGAGTGATTCATCCAAAATAATCCTCCACAGAAGCTGAATTGCGTTTGCAGACAACAGGGATGTCTGCACTAAGCATTCCAGGTACAAGGGTTCTGGCAGACGTGGCATCTCGCAGTGCCACCTTCTGAACCGAGGTCCAAAATGAGAAGGCACAGGCAGCAAGCCTGAGGAGATTCTACACAGTGATGGCAGGTTTTTCTCATGCTTGTGCTTTATTTTATTAAAAAAGAGGCGAAGCTACAACACTGGTAGCCTTTTCTTTGAAGATCCTTAATACGTGCTTCCAGTGAACTTAAAACAAAAGTTCCTGGGGACGATGGAGAGGGGAGGATTTCAACCTTACCTTCCCGGACTTTTACATGGATGGAGAGGACAGACCAGCCCTTCCTACTCTTAGTGTCTGCAAACAGAAGTGAGTACTCAAAAACCCTTGGGCACTACCGTCACATGAAATGGTCCATGCTTCCCACAGTGAAAGATTTGAGTGACTAGTTTTAGGGGTTCCGCCCCCTTGTAAATCCCCCAGAGTGCCTGTAGGGTGGTGGGAATATCTGGAATATAATGATTTTATCCTGATAAAAATGAGAAATTTTGAAAGTATTCCTTGTTTCAGGGCTTTTGCCCAAAGTATGTGGCAAACTGTGAGACAGAGCTGAGAAGTGACCCCTTGTCACTTCCCAGGAAAGAGGGAACTTTACAGAGAACATGGTAAGCACATGAACTCTATCAGCAGAGGTACCTCATGTAGCAGTGCAAACTCCCATGAACTCCACTTTCACCAGATCAAAGGCTGTAGAACTACATGAACTTCCATGACCTTTTCTGGAAACATCTGAGCTGATGCAGGAGTTTAGGCCAGCCCAAGAACCAGCCCAAACTTGTTGACAATTCAGATTTTCCACTGAAGTAACAAATACAGATCTTTAAGAAGTAAAATGAGATTTTAAAATACCAACTAGCAAATTATTGTGCTTGTGAGAGAGAGCAAGGATGACTTAAGGGTGACTTAAGGATGAACAAGGTTGACATATAGAAGCCACAGAAACTTTTGCAAGGGATCACAGAATCATAGCATGGCTTGGTTTGGAAGGGACCATAGAGCTCATCTAGTTCCAACCCTCTGTCATGGGCAGGGACACTTCCCATTAGACCAGGTTGCTCAAAGACACATTCAACCTGGCCTTGGATGGAGACCTTCACTAGGATCTCTGAGTGAAAGGGAAACTCGTTAACACACCGCTGCACAGCAAACCCAGCACACTAGGCCCCTCACTAGTTCCCACCAAGTCCCTCATCCCAGGTACTCACACACCAGCTCAGTTAGATGAGATCTACCTGCCTGCAAAAGTGTCACAGCTCAGGAGGCACAGAGGGATACAGCCAGGCTGAGCAAGTTGAGCACACTCAGTGCCACAGCCCTAAAGGTCCTTTCTACCTGTCATTGCCGCTGCTGTTGGGACCTTGCAAGTACGCTGCTCCTGGAGTAATCTTTGTCAGGAAGCCCCCAACTCTTTTTGAAGTCCTTGCAACATACCAGACATGCTGTTTGGCCTCCAGAGCACCTCTGGCCCTTCCAGGGAAGCAGTTCCTCATGCCAGAGTCAAGACATCAACAAAACAGGAACTTGCATGGGCCAGCTTCCATCAGTAGGCTGGGTGAGCTTCTTTGGCCATTGCAAGTGCGAGGACTAGTTGCCAGGTTGCACTAACCTATACCCAGCCTCTCACATGTGCAGCTTTGTCTCAGCTTGGGAAATCATTCCCTAGAGATGCTCCAGTTGTTGATTTCTCTACTTACTTATCTCAGTCTTTCTCTCCTCTAGGAGACCTTGAAGAGGTCAGTCCCCTTTTCTTATGTGTTCATGTTCTCTCTCTCAGCAAATCCTTTCTTGTCTGTTGTGATGTATGGAGGCCTTTCTGCCCTTGCTACATGGATACTTTTTTACTTTTGTCTCTTGTGAGGCCAGACAGCCTAGGGAGTGAGACCCAGATGATTGCTGTGCACTGACAACATATCAGTAAGTTTATTTTCTTACTGCATGAAGCACAAACTCCACTGATAATGTCAGGAAGACTTCAGGAACACGCAAGGATGGCTGACCCCACTGAGAGCTTGTACAGTCAATACCAAAGAACAGAAAATCCAAATGACATTGAAGAACTTGGAAGATGTTCTCGCAACAGCAAATTTCTGCGAGCACCCCAGTAGAAAAGTGCGCTCCTATGCGGGACCTCTTTAATGATAAACTTTAGATGAAACAAAAGAAGTTTTATCAGCACAAGTTTCTTAACCACTCTTGGCTGCTGCAGTTATTTGAGATAAGGTATGTTTTCAATGACCTAATAACACCAAAAGAAATCCTAGTTTCATAACACAGGGCAGTCTAACAAATGATTGACTGGTAGTGTTGACTAAGCCATGTAATCAGAAACCTGCTATTCAACCAACATAGCCCTTCTGTATATAAATTTGGGCTCCGGCAGCCAGAGTCACTCCCTCCTGAGCTGCAGAAGCAAATGGAGCTCCTGGGAGCAGCCGGTGTTGTCCTTCTAGTT